GTGGGTGGTCCCCCCCCCTGGCTCAGCGGGGGGTTCTCCCCGAAATGCGCCGAGCCCACTGGGGTTTTCCCTGCCCCTTGCCCTGGGTTGCTTCCTACCCCAGCCCTGTGGCCGACGGAGACCCCACCTGGAGATGCTGGGCTGGCGGCGGCGGCAATGTCAGCTGGTCCCATGTCTGGGGCAGTAGCGCAGGGGATGTCCACTGCAGCGGGCGGGTGGCCCCCCGGAGTCGGCGTTGGGGGCGTGCTCGACCCGGGGACGGTAGCAGCAACGGCGGCGATCCCCACGGCTCTGGCTCCAACAGCAGGTCTGGCTGTGGCTCTGCGGCTTGGGCTGGAGCTCCTTTCTCCCCGGCGGTCCGCCCCGACTGAGCAGCCCGGCAGCCTTTTATACTGAGGCTGCACTGCGAGCATGCCCAGCAGGGCTGTGGGGAAGGGGCATATTCTACCCAATAGATGGGCTCTCCTCCCTCCTGTTCAGTGCGGGGCAGGCTAGCCCCGTCACAGATAGGCACAGGGCTTATTGATTCCATACTGATGTGTTGTGTGTGTAAGTTAAAAATATGCTGAATTCTCCATCCCTTGAGCCTTTCTTAACAATTCCACTCTTGCCTCTTCCTCCTGTACCACTTTCCAGCTTCAGTTCTTTATTTTCTTCCCTCCATCGAGATGAACAGGTCAGTTATGAAATAAACTAAACAGATTAGTAGTTGATGTATTCAGTTAAACCCTGATCCGCAAGAAAAGTTTTTCAGTTACAGACTGACGTGGTTACCCCTCTGAAACTTCTGATCCTCAAGGAGACTTAGGCACCTAACTCCAAATTGAAAGCAAAGGGATTTCATATGGCGTGGAAGAAAGTATGGAAATTGCTGTAAAAGAAGCAGATGACTGAGGTGGAGCAAGAGAGTCAGGGACAACATAAGAGATTAGCAAGGAGAAGTTAAGGGGGGCAGAGTTGTGCAGAGCTTTAAAGGCATCCACAAGAAGTTTGATCTTAATGGGGGTAGACAACAGAGAGCCAGGTGAGAACTTCAAATGGAAGGATGTGATCAAATCAACATCTTATCTGCTCTATTTTTATGATGCGGAGGAGGTGATGAGGCTGTCTGAAGTCAATGAGAAGAGAAACTGGGGGAGATTTTAGCTGGGTGAACAGAGGAAAAAGATCAGAGCTTCAAAATATTGGGGGAAAAAAGGCTGTAAGATTTGGATATTACCAAGAAGTGTCAGGACAGGTCAAAGCTGAAGATGCGATGTAGTTTAATGAGTGACAGGGAAGATGATGGTGTTTCCAGTAGTGACAGAGAATGGGGGGAGGACAGAGGGACGCAGTGAAGGCACTGAATTGGCAAAAAAATAGCAACATGAAGGGAGAGAGAACAAATCTGTAGCAGAAGCAGCCTGTGCAGCAGTGAGAATTATTCCTGAGGCATTCAAGGGACACAATCAAGCAGATGAATCAGATAATGAGATGAACCAGGGTTGGGGGTTAGCAGGACAGAGTTTACAATGGGGATCAAGAGGGAAAAAGCGTTAGTGGAGGAGGAGAGAAGTGAAGGGATTGGGGGGAGGGAACGGGGGGGGGGGGGGGGGGAATGAGTATAGAAAGTCATTCATGGATATGAATGGACTGGAGGTTACAGAAGGCTGGGAAATGTTCGAAGAGATGAGGCAATAATCTGAGAGCCAGAACTCAGCTATTGAGAGATCAAAGGAGCAGCAGCCTTTAGTAATTCCACAGTTTAGTTGACCCAATGCCAGGCACATCTCTTGGCAGGTCCACGCTGACCGCAAATTTATGGCCATCAGGTCAGCTAACTCAGGTCTTCCTAACCATGTTCAAACACTGTGAAAGTGTAGGTAAACCCTAGAATCTAGGCCAGGGGTGGACAATATTTTTGATGGGGAACCACTCCAATATTTTGGTAAGTGGTCAAGGGCAGCACTTTTCTATGGTGGGGGGATACAGGGTCTGGGATGAAGGTTGGGTGCAGAAAGGAGCTTAGGGTAGGGGACTGGGAGTGTGGGGAGTCTGAGAGGGAGTTTGGGTGAAGGAGGGGATTGTGACCTGGGGCAGGGGCTTGGGATGCAATGTCCAGGAGGGAATATCGGTGCAGGAAAGAATTCTGGCCTGGTATAGGAGTGTAGGAGGGTTTGTAGGGTCTGGGAGAGAGTTGTGACCAGAAGAGGAGGAGAGGGTGCAGAGGGTTTAGGTGGTAGCATAGGGCAGATAGTTGTGGGGAGCAAGGGACTAGAGTCCCAGAGGCAGGCTCTGGCCAGGAAGAGTTTACCTAGGCAGCTTCCAGCCAGCAGCACTGCAGGACCCTGAAGCAGGTTCTCTGCTTGGGAAGATGAGGCTTCATATGCTGCCTCCTTCCGTAGCAAAATCTCTCAGCTCCCATTGGTCAGTTTCTGGCCAACAGGAGCTGAGAGATTTTGCTATGGGGTGGGGGTGGGGAGGGGAGCACATGAAGCCTCCCTTTGCCCTGGTGCTCAGAGCAGAGAGCCACAGGGAAGCCAGCCACTCAAAGCGGCGTGGGGCTGCTCTGTGCCTGAGAGTCCCGGCAGGCTGGTCCACATTTTGCCCGCCCCTGACCTAGGCTAAAGAGTATCCTTGGTTGGAAGACCTAGAGGCAGAATTAAAAACAGAAAAGGTGCTAAGAACAAGTGGATCATAGGGAAGAAAGCAGTTTCTAGTCTGCATAACTTTGCACAATGGTATCTTACCTGTGGTGTCTGCAAGTGGAGATGCCTGTAGTTAGTTTTGGCTGTCTCTGTTTAAAGTAAACAGCAGCTGTAAAATAAATAAGTTACACTGGGAAATACCCTGAGCCCCATTTCTTTCCCAACAGCAAAGTGACTCAATGCAAAGTCCAAAAATCTGCAACCACTCAGCAAGGGGAAAGCAACACACCCATTCCACACCAGACCCGCATGTAAACATGAAATACAGCTGTCACCTTAAAATTCCCCTGCTACCCTGTCAGTGATTCTGCATTGTTTTATAGTGACCTCTCCATGACCAGAGTAAATTGCATTCTCTGTTTAACTCTCCATCCTAAATTGCAGCAAGATTCACTCTTAAACTGTGCTCTGTCTAGAAGTCCTGTGGTGCCTGGTGGAGTAGTGGCAATGGACCGACATTACTTCCAAAATATTGGCGCTTATGATTCCGACATGACTCTGTGGGGGTCAGAAAACCTAGAATTATCTTTAAGGGTAAGAATCTGAAACATCAAGTCACTATTGCGTGTTGACAAGAACAGTATTTAAGAGCTTGGAGGCAACTTAGGAAATAAAACTGAGTACAGAACTGCATGAGGTGGAGAGAAATTTCTGTTTTCTCACAGAAATCTACCCCCAGAATTCTCCAGCGAGATGTCAAGTGACAACGCACAGAACCACTAAGTTAGAAGCTGTATGTTATCAAAACAACATCTCATTGACTGATCTTTGCCTGGTGAATGAACATTTTTAGCACCTTCTGAAAGCAGCATTTTACACATGAAAGCTTTCACACATATAGTATTTGGAAAGTACTTTAAAGACTAACAAAACATGTAGATGGTATCATGAGCTTTCGTGGGCATTGCCCACTTTTTCAGATGACGAGAGTGTTGGATGAGAAGAAGTGGGCTGTGCCCACAAAAGCTCATGATACCATCTACATGTTTTGTTAGTCTTTAAAGTGCTACCAGACTATTTGTTGTTTTTAAAGTTTTTCCTGTTCAAACTAACTTGGCTACCTCCTGAAGTATTTGGAAAGTGTTAGTTACAGAATCTTAGCAAATGGAACGAGCAAAGCAGTATGCTTTTAACACATGTTAAACTGCTCAAGTCAATCAACAAGTTAAACACGTTAAAGACACACTGCCTTGTCTACGCTAGGCTGCTAACACATGTAAACTAACACCTTCTAAATCCTAGTCTAGATAAATTCTCAGAATAAAAGCAGCCTAGTTATGGTTGCCTCCTCTATGGGAGTACTAGACTTCCTCCTCCTTCTGATGCCCTTCTCAGTATTTCTAGCAGGTAAAATGAACCCACATGTCTCAAACCAGATTTTTACTCATGTCAGTGACTATTTCACTTTGGTTTGCACAACTAAATTACTTACCATTTGCTAAGTCGGGGTGGGGAACCTCTAGAGTGCCAGCCACATGTGGTTCATCAGGGTTAGCCACTGCTGGGATGCCAGACAGTTTGTTCATCTGTGTGTCACAGGGTGTGGCAGCTCTCAGAGGCCACGGTTCACTGTTCCCAGCTAATGGGTGCTGTGGGAAGTGGTGGCCCAGTTAAACCTGACAAATTGCATATTGCCCACAGGCCAGAGGTTTGCCAACCCTGTGCTAAAGGGTGTTGATAGCGATTTATTGCCTGCCTAGTGGTTACACCATGTTAGAACCCTTTTTGTCTTCCTCTGTATTACAGGCCTGGCTCTGCGGTGGTTCTGTTGAAATCCTTCCATGCTCACGGGTGGGGCACCTCTTTCGAAATCATATCCCACGCACTTTTTCCAACAAAGAGGCTGCAGTAAGGAACAAAATCCGAATAGCAGAGACCTGGCTGGATTCTTTTAAAGAGATTTTCTACAAGCATGACACAGTGGCATTCCTAATCAGTAAAGTAAAAATATAAGTGATGGCCCATCTTAGCAGGGAGTAAAGTAAATCCTTGTCATGGGGCGGGGGGAGAAAGGAGGAGAGAGAGGGGTTTTTTTTAAAACAGATTACTAATGCTGCCTGTTAACATCCCACCTAATGTCTAGCTACTTCCAAAAGGAAAATTATTTTGTCTGCAGAGGAACAGACTTCCAATACACCAGGTTTAGGAAAGTGATTACTGAGGTATTACGTTCACAGACAAGCTAAGATTGTGTTTAGCTCATGATTGGCCAGAAGAAATTGACTATATTCTCACAAAACCAGAGTGAAGCACACAGAAAGATAATACAAAGGTCAGGTTCAAAAAGCTACAGACACCCCAACTACTGTAGTATACCTTAATTAGATTTTCTTTCAAGGAGTCACAAGGCTGCATTAAAAAAGGGATTTGGATACTAGCTGCCATTTTGTCTTGCAGTTCGGGTGCCTCTCTACAGGTTGAACCTCTCTAGTCTGGCACCCTTGAGACCTGACTGGAGTTGAACCAGAGAATTTGTCAAACCATGGGAGGTCAATATTGTTTAGCAGCATTACCAACATTTCCAGTGCTTATTGGCCTCTTAAGACATTTAGGGGTAAATTAGAGCTAAATAATAACACAGAACATTGAGAGCCAGGACTAGGGGCTATAAACAAACTTTATAGGACCACAGGCAACTTGGCCACAGCCATGATAAGTGGACATTCTGCTAACTTAAATCATGCCAGACCACGGATGTTGCTGAACCAGAGAGGTTCAACCTGTACTCACAAACCCTAGTGACTGGAGTGACTCAGCATGCTGCAGAACCACAGTTTGGTTCATGTCTGTCTGGGCTCAGCACTCAGACTGAAATACATGATATATACACAGACATGTGTTTCTTAATATCTAAACTGCAGAGCTGTTGACAATATTGCTGCTAGACCTCTTTCTTTGGCTTTGGTATCATTATACCAGCAACCTTTCCCATTCACCAGCAGGGCCGAAGTTTGAGCTGTTTCAGCAAGCAGGTGAAAAAGAAGTAGAATCGGTAAAGAAGAGATGTCATTAAATTAAAAATGATGTGCTTTCAAAAATGGAAGACTGGTGAGAATGCTAAAGCTAGGCAGGGCGTGGGTTTGCACTTAGCACTGTATGAGTTTCCTCGAGCAATTTTGGCACTGCATTTCAATCCTGACATACCAAGCTCTGATTGCTGCAGTCTTTAGTTGCCCAATCACACTAAATTTTATGACAAACTTGAGACTAGCAAACTAATTTTTTTCTTTTTTTTTTTTCCGTCTGAGTTTCCTCTTGTTACTTATATTGCAAGACTTGAACACCATTGGCCAAATTGCTATCTAATTTATACTCTGTCAGTCTCTTTGATTCAATGAGCTAGCGGTGTAACTGAGAGGAGAATGAGAGCTCAGGTCTGCAGAGATCAATGGTTTCTTATTTCTTATTTCATTTAATAATTAACTGAAGGTGTTTCTCGTTAACTTGGTAATAACTTTATTCTGAGCCAATAAACCCTTCAGCCCTTAGTATTGGAGTTTATTTGCTATCAAAACCTTTGTCTTCGAGCTCAAAGTTTATTTTGTACAGGTTGCTGTTACTACCTCACAAATGTGAAGTATCCTCAAATGAGATTCATGTTCAGCTGACATAATATTAATCTATTACCTTCTTCTACATCAAGGATTTTTGAGTCAGTATAGCATGATGTTTTAATCCATATAAAATAATTTGCAATGCATTTACTTAAAATCATAATCGTCTTGTCCCCCAGTGATTTGTTGAATTAATAAGTTAAATAGGGCCACCTATTGGCCACTGGAAAAATATTATGAAAATATTACCAGAAACTTCACTTCTACTAAGTGACATAAAAATGTAACCCCCTCCCCCTATATATTTTTCCATTCCAAAATTTTTTTTTGGTATCAGAACTGTATTCTGCCCGTGATATCTATGGCATGAATGTTAATATTAACAAATAAATTGTTTAAAACAGTTTAAAATTATAACCACAATTTCATCTCAGATTGTTTTGGCTATAGGTTGACTTGCTTCACAATATTCTCCAGTATACTGTGATGTGTTGCTCCCCACACCAAATCTAAATTATAATTAATATGACAATATGACACTGGCTAACATCTGCTTGCTAGTCCCCAGTAATTCAGTACTATCCTTTTTTAGGGAAAATTTTTTGCTTCCAGTTGATTACTGTGAGCCATTGGCCAGGATCTGCGATCTGCAGGCAGTGGGAGCAGCAAGCGTCCGTACATGCAGAGGCGAAGGAAATACAGTGGTGGCAGCCTGCCAGGGCTAAACTTGGCAAACTGGATCTGGCCTACAGTCTCGTATTTGCCCATTGCTGCCTCAGAAGTAGTGAGTGCCCTCAACTTCCTGACTTCAATGACAGCTGAAAGTACCTAGTTACACTCAACCATTGATTGTTATTATTTATTGCCAATATTACCATTCAGCTTAGAAACTCCAGTCACGGACCAGGACACCGTTGTGTTGGGCACAGCACAAACACAGAACAAAATGATGGTTCCTGCCCTAGAGAGCTTCTGCAGAACCAGATCATTCACATAATACAACAAGCACTTGATTTTATAAATATATATATTTAATCAGCATTACTACACATGTTAGATCAAATTCTAAGCTCTTTTATTTTCACTGCACAGGGGATGTAAATGAGAGCAGATTTTGGTCTGATTACAGCCAGGACACTAAATGCCAATCAATAAGCCAAATTCTTACATCTTATACAACCCCATTGATTTTAGTGCAGTTAGTGTAGAATTTGTTTTTTTTTTTCTTCATAAAAATGAGGGGGGAAATTACTGATTTTGCAAGATAATTACACTTTTGTTATGGATTATCTCATCTTTGAGACTCTCATTCCTCTTCCCCTGTCCGCCCCAGACTAAATGTTATTTTAGTATTAATTTACAGGGCCTGTAGAAATAGTCTCTTTCTTTTTGCAACACATATGGGAGACAGGACACTAGTTGCAACTTGCTGTACATAAGGGGTGGCAGAACTTAGCCCTCCCCAGACAGTATATTTCTTTTCCAGCTTCTCAAAAACAAATATATTAGCACTTGTTTACTATCCATTCAATTGCCCTGTGCTTTCTTATATAAGGCTGAGAAGCCAGACTGCAACAACCGCCTTCAACTGCAAAAGAGACTGGGCTGTCGAAAATTTCACTGGTTTATATCAAATGTATACCCCGAACTCCACCCACCAGAGTACAGGTTAAGATTCTCTGGCAAGGTAAGAGGAAAATTATTATTATTTGTATTATTAGAGACGCTTAAGACCCCAACTGAGATCAGAGCTCCATTGTGCTAGGTGCTATACCAGGGGTGGGCAATAAAATGGCAGGAAGAAATGTGGACCAGGACACCATGTCCCGCAAGCCCTATTGGGCGTGAATGGTGATCCATGGCCAATGGGAGCTGCAATCACCTGTACCTGCAGGGGCGCAGGTAAATACAGCAGTGCTGATCCACCAGGGGCTAACCTGGGGGAACTGAATCCAGCCAGTGGGCTGCTATTTGCCCACCTCTGTGCTGTACAAACGTATAGTAAGAAACTGTTCCTGGTCATGACAGCTTACAATCTAAATAGGCAAGACAGATAAAGAAATGGAGGGAAAACAAAGGGAAGTAAAGTGACTTGTCCAATATCACATAACAAGGACTAACTCAGGAAGTGAACCCTGTTCTCCTGACTCCCAGTTTAGTGCCCTATTCACCAGCTTATGCTGCCTCCCCAAAAGTTACAGGGTTTCATATTTAATAATTATAACTTATTAAAACACAGATTTAAAATAATTGCTTTGTGGGCCAAATTGTGAGCAATGTTTCCTCTAATCTTTTCCGTCCATGTGTGGATTTTTACCATCCACGTGCGGATTAATTTTTTCCATGTATTCCAAGACATGTACAACTGTGCAACACCAATAGAATCATCCCGCCACCTGTGGGTACTCAGCTAATCCGCTGGTGGCATTTGAATCTCTCCTGAGCAGCTTCATAAGTGCACAGCTTACAGAGATCACTGATGGTGAAGCCCTTACTCAGTTTCTATGCTGTCCCCTCTCAGGAATGTTCCTATTGACTTTAATGAGAGTTTGCCCAGGAAAAAAGACCTAGCACTGTGTAAGGATCTCACAATTTGACACAATGCAAAAAGGTAAAATTACGTTATATCTACCTTACCGGTGAGGGATGTGGTTCCCCTGCTTTTGTACACACACCTGTGCTAGCTCTCATGCAGCTAGTGCAAGTATAACTAGTAGCGTAGCCACAGTAACACAGGTAGTGACAGCAGAGGCATGGCTCAGCTGCACCTCCGAGTGAGAGAGAGAGAGTATGGATACACAAGTAGGGAATCACATTCTGAGTTCACAGATGTAGCTTTAACAATAAGAAAACCTGTGGCACCTAAAACTAACAGATGTATTTGGGAAGAAGTTTACATGGGCTAGAACTGACTTCAAAGCATCTGACAAAGTGGGTTTTACTCACGAAAGCTTATGCCCAAATAAATTCTTTAGTCTATAAGGTGCCACAGGATTCCTTGCTGTTTTTGGTGAAACAGACTAACAGAGCTATCCCTCTGAGATGTAGCTGTGGCATTCCACTTGATAGATTCAGAAATAGTAATGCAATGTACTGCTAGTTATCTTCATACTGTATAGATTGATATTTAATCCAAAGTTTGTCATAGCAGACTAGCATAGGTAATGGGGATTATATTAAAACATGCTTGTGACTATAATATTAAATTCTATACTATATACACAAATAGGGCAATTATTAGAGCTCATCGGAAAACAGATTTTTTTCTTATGAAAAACTGTGACTTTTTGTTGAAAACTGAAACCGCTGCCCCCAAATTTGGAGAGTTTTGGTCAAAAACATTCCAGTTTTGGGCTGTTCCATTTTTCTGACAAAAACATTAAACATTTTCAAGTAACACGGACAGATTCTGCAAAAATTTGGTCAAAAACCCAATTTTCCATAAAAAAATTTATTGGAAAAAAGTTCAACCAGACAAAGGAATTCTAAACAGGAGATATGTATCTATCACTCTACCAGATAGCATTGGGCCAAATTGTTCTCTTGTAAACATGGACAGATTCTGCAAAAGTTTTCTACCAAATAGCATTGGGCCAAATTGTTCTCTTGTATCACTCCAATGACAAAGCTCAGCTTGGCCCAATATGCGAGAATATTTGATTTTACTTAGGAGTAAAAGGACTCTAAAGCCAAAACATGGACCACAACAACCCAAGCATCATTAAAAGTTAATTAAAGGACATTTCTTTTAATTGATTGTGCTTTGTTTCAGTATAAATATTTATTTACAGCTGTACAATACTGGTGTTGGCTTCTGTGCAGATTACAGATCTGCTTGGGATGCTGCAGCAGGTCCTATTGAGCTATCTCCTTGTAGTGACAGTATTAACCAGGTATTGTATATTTAAAGCTTATGTGTAATATTATCTAATTTAGGGCCCAAATTCAGGGAAGTATTTAATTTTGCACGTTTAAGGATTAACGTTAATGAGAGCATTCAATGTGCTGAAAGTTAAATACATGCTTATGTACCTTCTTCAATTAGGGGGCAAATGCTGAACCATTCAATTACTGCAACAATATGTCTTGATGAATTTGTCTAATCAAAAATATGTGGGTTTTTTTCATTTGGGAATCCGCATATTTGAACTGGACACCATTAAAATACCAAGGTTCACCACAGTATTGCCCTATGGTATTTGCAATGTTCTCTATTCTAAAAACAATAATAAATGTATGTGACTGGTCTGAAATGCAACAATATTGCAGCATATTGAATTAGTGCAAATGCCAAATGTCAAGATATCAATGATGTTGACTGTTATATTTCAATCAGTTTTGGGAAAGTTAAAAACGGGAAAATCATATTTTAGTTAAAACAACAGAATGGTTATTTGGGACGCTGGTTTAAATTGGACTGTAAAGCAATGATTTATAATACAGTTAAAATATTCATTCATTCAAATGAAATCCCAATATGCAACCTTTGTCTAGTGAAAATACAACCAGTATTATGACAATTTTACTGTCCTCTGACTCTCCTTTTTAAAAATACTTTCACTTTTAACCAATTAATATGCAAAGTGTAATTTAACTAACAACACATCTAAGCTATGTCCGTTCATTTTCAGTGATAGATGTCTAAAGCTGGCTTCTGGTTTTCCACCTGAAAATATTTTTTTGTACATTATAGGTCATTTAGAAATGTAAGTATCTGGTCTGCTAGTGTAACCCACACACCTAGGCTATGTCTACACTGGCAGGTTATTGCACAATAATGGCTGTTCTTCCACAGAGCGTCCACACTGCCCACCCACTATTGCGCAAGAAGATTTACAGTAAAGCGTGGTAGGAGAAGGCTTCTTGTGCAAGAGCTACACTCTTTTCTAACAGGTGTAAGTTCTCTTGCACAAGAGCTCTTGCGCAAGAGGGCAGTGTGGATGCATGGCAGAGGTTTCTTGCGCAAGAAAGCCCTATGGCTAACATGGCCATCAGAGCTTTCTTGCGCAAGGGAGAGTCCACACTGCCATGGATGCTCTTGCGCAAAAGCACATCTCACACATGGCAGTGTAGACGTGTTCTTGTGCAAGAGTTCTTGCACAAGAACCCTTGCTCAAGATGTTCTTGCGCAAGAAGCTGCCAGTGTAGACATAGCCCTAGTGTGGTTACTGAGCAATGCAAGTGGTACCTAGACCACAGCAACAGTTAAGATCAAGAGACCTCTACAGCATGGGCTAGGACCCAGCTGGCTTTTAGATCGGAGGGTAGGGGCTCCTATACTCAGCTCCAGAGAGCCAGGTTCAAATCCACCTCATGTTGGTTGCACTGGCACACACAGACACCTACATAAACTAAAGTGTTTCTGTCCAGAGATTTGCAGATGCCAAAATGAAAGCCTGGTTTACATCAAGCTAAAAATGAGGTCTTTACTTTTTACCTCCATAGAGGTCAGTCAAGAATGCTAAGTTCTAGAATAATATTGAACAACTAGACTGGTATACTCTGATCTGTATACATCCAAAACTCCCATTAAAGATAAGGGAAGTTTTGGAAGCTCAAGAAATATAAGACCAGGACCTGAGATTGTATATGCAAATATTTGCAGCCAGGTTGGTTTGTAGAAGTTCTGCTTTCTGATTGACTCAAAGATAGATTTTTCCCCCTGAACTTTTAATTCCATCTCTCTTTTTGAATGCTAAGAATGAACTCAGGAGAAGTTGAAACTATTCAGCACTTGAAGGTTTGAGTCCATGAATACAAAGTAATTATTTATTATTTTCAATATGGGGAAATGGAAGATGAAAAAATTTAGGGTACAAATATATCAAATCAAGAATAACAGAGAGAGATTTTTTTTCCCATATTCTGATGTCTAGGAAAGTCCCTCCAGCCAAAGTACCTTTCCAAAAAAAAAAACCTGAAAAAAATTGCCTACAAATGTTATGGTCTGCATCTATTTTATACATATTATCCAATCCAAAAACCTTTATTCATGGAAACAGTCTCAGGAAAGTAGTTATAAAAGGACTACGTGTCAGGGAATAGGCTTGCAGAAACAGATCCACTACCTATCCTTCATTGATCTTGAAGCTGTATGTTCCAAAACAGGAGATTTTTTGGGGTACTGGCAACTCAAAATGAATTGCAATGTTCTTCAACTCTATTAATGCAAACAAACCCTTCCTTTTCTAGCATTTTGAATATAACAGTATGAAGGAAATCCGGTTTGGTTCCACTCTGCAGTTTTGCTTTGATGTCAGACATGAGAAGGTTATCCTTCAAAACTGTACTCAAGAGGCAGAAAATAGCCCACAGCAATGGGATGTCCAGGAGGTGGGTAGTGATTTTGTCACAAAGTGAGGCTAACTGAAAACAATCCAAAAGGGGTGGCAGACATTAACAGAAGTTTTGGAGGGTAGACATTAACAGAAGTTTTAGAGTGTAGCTTCAGTGCATCACAGTTTTTGCATCCAAGGTACTGTAAAGCTATTTGTCTATTTACACTAACTTCCTCATACAAATTTGGTTAGAAATAAGAGTTAAAGCATCCATGCTGTAGAACTGCATGATCTGGATTTTTGCAGTACTAGACTAACCCACTTATTTTACAGGGGATCTTTGAATACATGAACCAGTACTTATGAAAATAACCTAAGGGCAAACTTCCCCTGTGATGGGTTGGATCAAAGAAGTCTCATTGGTGTGTTGATCAAGTCACCTGGTGTGCTGATCAAGTCCCTGACACCCACCTCCCTGCCTTCTGGGGTTCCCCATTCCCTACTCTATTGGGCCAGAAACTCTGGTCTTCCCCAGCCAAGGCACAGAGTTGAGGTTACTGCCCTGCAACAGAGCAACACAGACATTGGACCAGCTCATCTCTGGGAGGGCTCAGTTATAAGGCCATTGACAGCATTCAAGAATCTAACCCCCACAAAAATCCATCTTACTCTGTATAAAAGTTTTACACTGAGAAAGCTTACAAGTTCACCCTCTCTAGCAGTTAAAGAGTGATATGCACAGAGGTTGTTCCTCCCTAGGAAACAATTATTTACACTGGGCTTGATAATAAACAAAAGTGTTTTTTTAAGTATAAAAAGTAGGATTTAAATGATGTAAAATGAAAAACAGATCAAAGTAAGTTACTAAGACAAAATAAACAAAACATGTCAGCTAATTCTAATACCCTAAGAAATGTATTACATGCAAATTCCTACCCTAAACAGTTGTTCTAAATACCTCATTCACAAGCTAGCAGCCTCTTAGCTGGGTCTAGTCCTTCCCCGTTCCGTTTCAGATGTTTTCATTGGGCATATGAGGTGGTAAGTGGGGTAGGGATTTCCTGGCATCTGGCAACTCCCCCTGTTGTTTGGTTTCTCCACTATATATCCATTTTGCCTATGGCAGGAAATATTTGTGCTCAGTTCAAATTTTTCTCACCTTGAATGGAAAAGGACCAGATCCAAAATAAGTTCCAGCCTTAGGTGGCCTGACCACGTCTTTGTAGGACCAGCCACAGTTTGGGCTTACAGGAAAAACACAACCATTCACAGGGCATTAAATTGATCACTGAGCCATCAATATTCTTAAAGTATCCCTAATGGCTTTTACTAGAATACCAGGCCTAATAAAACAGGTTCCCACTTTATATTTCTAACTTCACATACAAGAAAGATACATGCACAAAAATAGAATATACACATTCAGGGGATCACAACTTTTAAAATGGCATGTCACATCACCCCTTTTGTAGAAGGCATCTTTCAGTTATGCATATTCATATGCCAATTTTCATAAAGCATGGGGCCCTGAGACAGCCCCTTCCTCTCCCACTTCTGTAAGCACAAAGGACCCTTATAGCAACAGAACATATGTGGTTTTCCTATGCAGGCTGGGAGAGAATCCAGATTCTAGGAGCACATTAAAAAGAGTGAACCCCTTGCATGGATTGAATTGTGTCTCTTTTGAGAGTAGGGTAAGCCTTAAAATTCCCCCTCTATTGCAGTATAGGAGTATCTCTTTCTATAGGAATTCATTATTATTCAGTGAAATTCACCTAGCAAGCTAGGAAATTATCTGCAGCATGGGAAATGTTATGGCTTCAGGACAATATAAGGAACATAGTGTTAAAAGAGAGCTGGACAGATTTATGAGTGGGATTGTGTGATGGGTGCTTGTCATGGTAGGGGGCATGGCTCAGCATCTCTGGGACTCAAGGTATGTCTTATGTTCCTGAAAGCTCATGCTTCCAGGCTTCAGATGGATGCCTGCAGGAGTCAGGAAAGGATTCCTCCACTGCAGACAATATATTCTGGTTTTGTTTTTTTGTCTCCTGCCTGTAAAGCATCACAGATGCCTATGGCTGGAGACTGAACACTAGACAGGGTGGGCCAGGGCTCTGAAATGGCACCAAGTGCTCTCTGTCTCGTGTTCTTGGCTAGCTGGTTCGTTCTCAGGTGTTCAAGGTCTAACTGATCACCATGTGTGGAATCGGGAAAGAATTTCCCACCAGGTCAGATTGGTGGGAACTTGGGTTTGTTTGTTTTTTCACCTTCTTCTGCAGTATGTGGATGATGTCACCTGGGAACAACATTGACCCTCTAGAAAACAGAACACAATAGGAGTGAGGAGGGATGATCTTAACAGGTGCTGAGTATGGACAACTCCCATTGAAGGCTCAATAGGATTTGTAGGTACTCACCACCTTTCAGGATCAAACCTAAGGCAAACATTAAATGTAGAGTATTATTCCAAATGAACAATCCCCAATCCCTGCTGATTGTATTTCTTTGTTAAAAGCTTAAAATATATATTTTGATCTTCATTGAAAGTCCCTTACCTGTTCTCCGTTTCCTTCTGTTCTTTTATTGTCTTTTTGTAGAGTGGAATGATTGTCCACATCCTTTCTGGTAAATGTCTAATGGCAGTGAAGAGTGAAGCTGAGAAGGACTTGTCCTTACATGTATGTAACAAGAATGAGAATCAGCTTTGGCAATTTGATCACTCACTTGTGCTAGATGAGAGATGACCAACAGGTCTATGTAAAGACTGTCTCCAAGCCTCACAATCACTTTCATTTGGGGTTCAAGAAACACAGATTCCTGCATGCAAAAGAAAATTGTGTGTGCCTGCAGTACTCTTCAGAAGAAGCAAAAAGACCTTGCTTAAAAAGTCTTGCTCAAGGAATTGCAGCAGGTTCCTGATTTAGCCAATTCAATCTATAAATTACTATTTGTTCTCTTCAACCAGAGCATAAAGTCCTGTGAGCATCAGTAGTGACTCTGCAGCTCCACTGCTGCTGAAGTTAAGAAGTTTGCCATTTTATGGAAACTTAAAGACATCTCACCAAAGGGTCTCTCTTTAGCATATTCTGAAAGTCTTAAGAAAACAGGAAGATGAATCTTTATGAAGCTTTAGAAACTCTCACAAAGGAAGACCACTTTGCTAGGATGAGAGTTTAGCCAAGCTGTATAATTTACTCAATCCATAGAAAACAAAGTAGGTTTTGTCTGTATCAAAGTACAACATCATGACTTGTGTAAATAATAGTTAATATATTCATTTCCAAATACACTGAGCCAAATACTCCACTCTTGATGAGATTGCAGGGTGTGGACAAATTAGCACAGAATCGAGCTATATCTTGTTCTTGTTAAAAATTCCCATTGATGTCAATGGGAATACAATCTCTGCCTTTAGCCCATTGTCTCTTTCTGCCTAATCCACAATCTAAATTGTATGGGAAAATGACACCACAGAAATGGATAGATGTACAATATTTATTCTTTAGTTTCCTTTGGATTTTAATAACTCCTTGTTAGCAAACTTTCCATTAGTAGACTTTGGGAGGATTCCCAACAAGAAGAGCGTATGAAAGATTTAGGAGACAAAAACTCCCAAACAATGTGTATTTTGACATGGAATTTATTGGAGGCATTCCATTTCGGCTCATAAAACATTGGGGCAAGTTAATGTTCTAAAGCAAAGTACCACTCAAATTGTAAAGCTTCCAGCTGAAAGCAGAAAATGGAAGGACTTTAGCTATACAAGACTTCATAGCAACATAAGAGGAACATATTGGTGTCTGCTTCCTTTTCCTGCATCTGCTATGAAGTTACTAAATAGAATAAGAGTATTGACATTGTTGTCTCTAGATTGATTCTCAAAAGTAATTATCCTAGGTTCTTTTATTGGGAGCATGATTGTTCAGTCATTCTGACCTCAAGGTCTCCCACTGAATTTAATGGCAATTATTATAATTGAAGAATATAGTGTCAGGCTCTCTTTGTCATGAACACTTTATCTGGAATCTTTAAATTAGAATGAAATCATAGAATCATAGAATAATAGGACTGGAAGGGACCTCAAGAGGTCATCGAGTCCAGCCCCCCGCCCTCAAGGCAGGACCAAACAAGGATGACACCAAAATAGGAGAGGGAGAAGCTTGGCAAGATAGACATAACTGCAGAATGAAGCCTTCTCCTAACCCCCTGACTTTCCTTTAGATCCACTCCCTAATTCATTTTCATATCAATCAATCACTGCTTTCATACATACAGTCAATAAAGGGCGAGCGAAATGCTATTGAAACCTAATTTGTTGCTGACTTTTTAAGAGACAGAGAAAGTCATTTTTACTAAGATGTAGAACAAATTGCCTTTGTGATGGGGCTTGGCACAATAGAAATCAGTCACAACAGAAGAAGCAAACATCATTGAGCGCTGTGTCGTCCACAAAAGGACCATGGTATGGGTCCTGTTTGGTTAAAATGCCACAAATTCCACCTCTTGTACAGGCAGTGCTCCAGCCACCATAATCACCAAAGCTACCAGTTGCTCCTTCTATGATAGCACCACTGCTGCAGCGGAATTTGATACCGTTAGCAGATGTATCATCTACAATTCCTTGTGGAGGTTCAACTTTCATCTGAAAGGATGTGAGGAATCCTGTTGGACACCAAGTGATTCCTGACCACTGCCCAAACCTAGGGTGGGAGGGAGAGAAGAGAATTTCAGTATATTTTTTCTACTTGTATAAAAGCCAGTGAAATGTCATTTGAATCAGATTTGATTAATTTTTAAAATGGAAAGTACACCTGATTTTTTCAGAATGATTTTGCAGGTATTATTTATTTTGTGTTGAACACCCGCTGTGTTTGGAGTCTCCAGAGTACACAGCAGATACCATTCCTTTGACCCAGAGCTTACATTCCAAAAATAAGTGACTGCACAATGACAGCAGGTTACCCCAAACTGAACTTATCACAAAGCAGCAAGGAGCTGGGAGGGGAGGGAGGTTGTTTGTTTTTTGTTGGAGGGCAGGAAAAGGGTGGAACAAAACGGAAGAAATGTGGCTGTCCTGTTCACAGTATATGTGTCAAACTCAAGAAAACCTGAGGAAAAAAAGGTTCTCTGTAGATACAGGCATACCAGAGAAAAGCATTAAAGTAAATTCATTCATATCAGTGGGAGTAAGAAAAGAATATGTTTCTTACTATCAATTAAAAATAGCTTGGAGTTTACTCTTTATTGCCTGCAATAATTGTAAAGATGTAAACATTTCAAACTTGGATTTATGTTATGTCACACTTTAAAACATTGATATTTACATGGATATTAAGAGTAACCAATATATTGGTTATAATTAATATCAGCAAACATTTTGAAAGGGCTATTAACCCTGGTGCTTCAGGACACGCCAATCTCTAAAGTTCAGAGATTAGGATTAGACCTGGCCAGTCTCCTGTCTGTCTACAGAAGTATCACTGCAGGTCTTCTGAAGTATCTGATGCTGGCCACTGTAGAGGAGAGAATACCTCACTAGAAAGACCTTGAGTATGATTTAGCATGGTAGTCCCTAAAATCAGGTGATATAAGTCCAAAAAGTGACCCACAGATCCTTTTATGCACAAATTACATTTAAAAAACAACCTCTTTACTTAAAGACATACAAACTAAATGAAAGGGGATGAGACATTCAAAGTTGAAACAAAGGATTTAGCTGTTAAAGGCACATCATCAACTTAAAAATAATCACATTTCTGTCTGAACATTTACCTATTACCTTTACAAGTAATGTCAAAGACTATTACAACTCAAAAATTAAGGGGATATATATATTTTTTCTTTGTCTTTTCCTTTGTGCCTTTGGCAGAACTCTGTGTATAGTCACTTTCACTGTTTCCCCTTTGTAGTCAGCCAGGTTTGAAATCAGAGCTGTTAGCTAGACTCCTCCATTTATGCAGTACCCCATTGCAGTACTGTAGAAGAGTCCACGCCAGTAAATTCAGTGTCAGGGCTTAGTTACTCAGTTTTTCCTGTCTGGGCATAACTTTTAAACAGCAAGGTGGAGAAAGAAAAAAAATATTTAAAAACAGGTAAATGTGATTGCCAAAAAATTGGCCTCGGGTGCAGGGGTGGTACTTAGAATTACTTTAAAGTTATTTTTAAAGTGACTAGATTCCAGGTTGACAGTATCTCTACAACACAAATAGTTATGAGAAAATTGTTTGCAGGGCCAAATATTCAAGTGAAGATGAAGTGTCGGTTTTAACTTTAGATTCCATCAAAGATGTGCTGGAGGGCAAAAGCTAAAAATTCAAACACAATAAAAGCAATCTCTGCTATTTAAATTGTATCCTTCTTTTCTCTGAATTTCACAAATTGTTTGTAATTAGTACATGAGTCAAGTTCATGGGGCTGCACTGGTGTAAAAAATAGACCACAACTTGGCCACTTACGCCCTCGGAGGTGGCAACCACTCATATTCTCAGCATAAAATATTAAAACAAACAACCTGCAGCCAACAACAGGCTACATTCTGGTTGACAGTGCTGCAAGTTCTCAGCTTCCTCATTTACTCTAACTCAAACAAACTGTAAGTGTTTGAAGTACCCTTAAACTTACTTTCCAGAATCAGATTCAACAGTATAGACAGCACTACTCGTATTGTTGTTTTTTACGCAAAATAAACGGATCCCATTTAGTGCCGTGTCATCACTAGCTCCTCCATACTCCTCCATCTAAAATATAAAGAAATACAGTAAGAACATTAAAATGCTAAGAACCTATAGCACTGATAAAAGTTTGGGTCAAGTGTACTTACCTTTATACTAAATCCCAGTGCATGGTAATGTTCTGGGCACATATCAATCCATGTCCAAGAGCCCCAAGGTCCTCCGTTAGTTACGTTTATTGAGCTGTAATACTTTCTGTTGGAGAAAGTGCCATTAGCGGCAATTTCTATTAGACCAAAGACTGGAGTGACAGAGGCTAAGCCAACCAAAAAGAGAAGAGGGATGGCCTGCATTTTATAACAGCAGGATGAAGCAGTGGGAGCTGCAGCACTAGTTTCTTCACCCAACCTTTTATACCCCATTTTATCTCTGCCAATTTGATTAAAATAACAAATGTGTTCCAGATTGTCACATGGGAAAGTGGACAAACAGTGTGTTTGGCAATGGTAATTTACTGGCTCGTGGTCTTAAATTAAATCTAGAAAGTCTGCAGCCCTCAGATTCTGCCCTGAGTGAAGTATATCAATGCACAGTGAATTTTTTTCCTCTGGGGATTATTTATGACATGATTTAGCTAGTTGAAAAGTCTCAGAGCGGTAGCCATGTTAGTCGGTAACTTTAATAAAACAACCAGTAAGGTGCTACAGGACTACTCATTCATGATTTAGTTATTTAGGACCAGATTCTGCCACTTTAATTATATTGACTGGTACATTATTCTGCAAGTAGTCCCAGTGGAAGGTTCCTAATAGAAAGGTGTCCACATCATAACTGACTAGCAGCCACATAGATACCTATAGGTGATTTCTGTTCCCTTTGAGATGCTGATTAACTTAACAGCTAGTCCTTCACCATAACTTTCATTGATGTTAATAGAAGTTTGGTCTGAGTAGGCACCTGTGATGACCTGGCAGTCTATGCATAGACTATGAATTCTGTTTGCTATTATGTGCTCCCTGTATGGTTATCAGCAACTCAAACCCTAAAACCACGATTCAGACTCCAAAAAATCTTGAGATTGACCCCAACAAATTCATGAGATGTTTAATAAGATTATATTAGCCTTTTTACTATTGAACTTTTGTCCATCGTCAGTCCCTATGCAACAATTAGTGTTGCCCACAATCCCAAATGTATTAGGTAAGAGGATTTGGGACTCTGGTCAGAAGCTCTGTCCCTCACATCTGGCCATCGCTTGGCCAGTAGTTAATCCTATCCCCAGTCCTTCTATTAGGTCTCTTACCACCCAGCCCCACCCCCATCAGTCCAAGCCCCCCTGTTTCTCATAGGGCTGTTCCAGGCCTGGGTGGACTTCAGAGACTATGAAGGGTAAGCTCTAGGGGCTTTTTACCACCTTCTGCCCCTTCTTGAGAAGGGTGCTGCGAGGTAAGGAGCAGCAGCAGAAATGCCGCCCTGTCTGTTTTTCCTCATAGAAGGACTGAGGGAGGAGGAAGCAGCATTGTATGGAGCTGTTGAGCTCTTTGCTCCCTTCTCCCCCTTTGAGCATGGCAAGTGGAGAGGAGAGATGCTGCTGGCTTCTGGTGGGGCTGAACTTTCGGGGGAGGAGGGTGGGAGCTGGAGCTTCTTGCATCATCGTGAGAGAAACTACAGACACTTCTAAAAAGCTATCACATGCACAAAAGTCACAAGTGTTGGTAATACAGCATTAAGCCCTTATCGTGGCCTTGACAGTATTCTTCCATCACATTTGTTGTGCTAATGAAAGTGGGATCTGGCCATCTACCTCCAAATGTGATAATCACAAACAACCATTAACAACTGAATTGGAGCAATGGGGTTGCAGCACCCTAGGTAAAACCAATCCTCTCCTGATTATCTATGGAAGAAAAGAGAATGGAAAATCTCTAAAGGGGAACAAGGATATCTGGGGGTATGTCTACACTACCCCGCTAGTTCGAACTAGCGGGGTAGTGTAGACATACCCCAAGGCATTAATGAAAATATTCAATACTACCAGCCCCAGGACTGACTCCTGTTGGACCTGGCTAAATACATCCTTCCAGTTTGACAGTGAACCATCTTGAGTATGGTCTTTCAACCTAGACGTGTGTCCACCTGATGGACATTCACCAAGACCACATTTCCCTATGAGAATGTCATGTAGGACTGTGGCAAAAATCTTACCAAACTCAAGATATATCACATTTCCTTCTTCCTCTTTATTCACTTGGCCAGTAATCCTGTCAAACAAGGAAATGAGGTTGGATTGGGATATGTTCTTTATAAAACATGCAGGCTATTCCGTATAACGTGCAGGCCTTTGAAAACACAGAGGCTGAGATGATCCAGGGTGGAGACAAAGGGGCCTGGTTTTCTGGGCACAAAAGAACCTTTTGATGGGCACACCAGCCAAAGCTGATTCAGGACTCAGCAAAGAAACTCCATCCTCTGGAAAAGCCTGGGCTTGAGGAGCAAAATCCAGGAAATGGGACCTGGAATTTGGAAAGGACTCTGACCAAATCCCAAGGAACACTCAAAGGTGATAAACAAACAGTGGACTGCTTTATAGCTGATTTACTATGTTGCCTACATCTGTATATCTGGTGCTGTCTATGAATAAAGTGTGCTTTTTCTAGAAATCCATTTGCAAAGACTGTGCCTTTTGGTTTCAACTATTACGTTTTCCTGAAGGGCTAAACTCTAAACTAGTGTACCCCCTGAGGGTGGAACTCTGGAGAGAGCATGCTTAAGTTCCTGCAGGGCACTGAGATGGGTTCAAAACTTGTCTTGAAGTTAGGGCAACTGGCTGGGACCCACTACAAGCAGCAGCAGCAGGTGGCAGTCTATGCCCAGGCAGTGAGCTTAGTGGCCAAAGAAAGGCCTGAGCCTACCTACACCCAAGAGAATATAAAAGCACACAGATCCAGTGCCTGGATCCAAATATAGCAGCCTGGTGAGCATCCAGCAACAGGGAGCGTGACTAGGTCTGTGACAGCACTGCAGCAATTGGCTTCTGTGAAAGAGCCCCAAAGGCCACCTCAGAGACTTTGACTTTGCAGAATGTCCAGATATCTCAGACATTTATAGTGCAGAAGCCATTTCCTCACATTATGATTGTAGAGTAAGTGGATGCAGATATTGCGTATAACACTGTTACCTCTCTGCCAAGCAGTAATTTTCAGTCCTTGCAGTTCAGCTTCCCTGTGGAGGAGAAGTCAGAGGTGTAGAGTAGTGATAGAAATGTAGCCGTGTTAGTCTGGGGTAGTTGAAGCAAAATGCAGGACAATGTAGCACTTTAAAGACTAACAAGATGGTTTATTAGATGATGAGCTTTCGTGGGCCAGACCCACTTCCTCAGATCAAATAGTGGAAGAAAGTAGTCACAACCATATATACCAAAGGATACAATTTAAAAAAAATGAACAAATATGAAAAGGACAAATCACATTGCAGAACAGAAGGGGGATGCGGGGGGGTGGGAAGGGGGAGGAAGGAAGGTAAGTGTCTGTGAATTGCTGATATTAAAGGTAGGGAGTGTGAGTGCACAAACATACAGTAGTCCTGGAACAGAGCTTCTCACAGACAGGCTGTGGGCAACACCCTTTTCCAAGGTTCTCAGCCCCCACACCAATGCCCACTTTCTAAGAAGCAACTCAACCTCAAGAATGGCCTGTAGTTAGAGAATGAAGCTAAGAGAAAACCCACTTACTGCTTGCCACATTTCCACAAAAGAAACCTGTGCCCAAAACCCGACACATTTTCTTTCAAGTTTAAAATTTCTTCACAAAGTGCTTGTGAGATTATGTGTAACAGCACCATCTAGTGACCCCTGCCATAACAAAATACTATTTCAAAAATGTAAACTGACATTTTAAAAAAGTGGTCTATAATTTGTATTAGTCACTAAAAGTCTGTGTTATGTCAGCCTTCTGGATGAGGTAGAAAGTTACCCAGGAACTTTGATGGTACAGAACAGATGTGAAGTGTCAGCAGTGCTGTTCTATTCTATCCCAGTGTGAACCTGGGTAGTCGATAGTACAACCTAAAGGCTAAATAATTGATTCTGTTTCTGAACAGCTGCAATATTTCACTCCATGGACTTTGAGGTGTACTCTCATCATGTTTACACAAAAGATAAAGAGGAAAATATAGCCTTTCTACTCATTCTTAGGAAACAGATACAAGAAATATGTTTAAGAGATTACTTTTAGTAAGCTATGTTAACAGCATTTGTGTAAATATTCAACAAGCCCAGATCCAAGAAAAGCTACAGAGACGGCATGCAACCCATGCAGATGCAGAAAGATACCATTATTCCCCCTTTTTTCAACCATTTAGACATACAAACTTAAAGGGGTTTTTTGTTTTCAGGATGTGCTGGTGGTGACGTGTTCTAAGGAGCTAGAGAACCTCTTCTATTAGAGTTCCTTTCCACAAAGCTAAGAGTGGAAAAGTCCAGAACAGTTCATTAATTGATTCTCAAGACTTCTGCTATAGCTGAGAAACCCTGCTCTCTTAGTTTTGTGTTGGCTTGCATTGAACTGTTGGGTAATGAAAAAATGATGCAATTTTCAAGAGCAAGTTAACCAAGGTATTTCCTACCATGCTCTGTATGACATTTTCCTTTCCATATAGCACTGCACAATTGGCCAAGTGAATTGTGTGTGTTTAGGCAGTAGGAGGTGTGACTTTTTTCTTAAACATCAAGTACTGCCCACTCCAGTAGGGGCAATAGTCTGACCCATTATTGCAAGTTATTACAAGGAATGGTGACTCTTGTCAAAAGAACTGACACTTGTAGGTTATTGTCAGACACTAGAATTGTATGACTGCTAAACAAAATGGTGTGATGTATCACTCTGTAATGACTCATTGCATTCACTATCAAGCAATAATACTCCTGGCCTTCAGAGAGCTCTAAATGTAGGTAAGACATCAGTCAGAACAATGGCATTGGCTGCATCTAGACTGGCATGATTTTGTGCAAATACTTTTAACGGAAAAGTTTTTCCATTAAAAGTATTTGCACAAGAGAGCGTCTACACTGGCACAGATGCTTTCGCGCAAAAGCACATATTTTGCGCAAAAGCATCCGCGCCAGTGTAGACGCTCTCTTGCGCAAGAAAACTCTGATGGCCATTTTAGCCATCAGGCTTTCTTGCGCAAGAAATTAACGTTGCTGTCTACATTGGCCCTCTTGCGTAAGAATACTTGCACAAGGGGGCTTATCCCTGAGTGGGAGTGTCAGAGTATTTGCACAAGAACCACTGATTTTGTACAGTACAAGGTCAGTGTTCTTGCGCAAATAGCTCTCTTGCGCAAGAAAGCTCTGATGGCCATTTTAGCCATCAGGCTTTCTTGCGCAAGAAATTAACGTTGCTGTCTACATTGGCCCTCTTGCGTAAGAATACTTGCACAAGGGGGCTTATCCCTGAGTGGGAGTGTCAGAGTATTTGCACAAGAACCACTGATTTTGTACAGTACAAGGTCAGTGTTCTTGCGCAAATACTCGTGGCCAGTGTAGACAGGCAGTAAGATTTTGAACAAAAGCAGCCGCTTTTGCGCAAACTCTTGCCAGTCTAGATGCAGCCATTGTGTTATAAAGCAGACTTCTTCAAAAGCGACTTGCAATCTGAGCTTTTCTACCTCAGGACAGTACGCGGGAGGGGCAAAAGCACCCCCTATAGTCCTCCAAGTAAGCATGATCTGGCTGGCCAGGGGAAGGCACTAGCCACACACTGCCCAAGCCTCCCTCCCCCATACTTTGGCCAGCCGGGGAAGACTGGAGCTCATTTCCCCACTTACTTGGCAGCAGCGGGGCTGCATTCACACCCTTGCAGTCCACATTTACAAAATAAGCACCCCCTATAAAAATTCCTGCACATGAGCCTGCATCATCATAGATGTGACACAAGGATCCCATATGTCCAACCTTTCAGCTGGCACATGGGCAGCCACATTCAGATTCAGCCTAAGAATAGTTACTATAGGCAGGGAGGTCAGAATCTCCTTATTTGCTGCTTCTGTCCTTCAGTCTCTGATCCTGGGTAGTTACTCTAATGGCTGCAAATATCTAAGAGCAATGCTGAGGGATTAATAAATATTTCTTGGTGTGAAACCATCCACTTTCAAATACAGGCAAAGAGCAATATTCTGCTCTTATTTTCATGGGTATAGATCTGGCGTAACATGATAAAAATACCTTGAGTTACTCCAGATTTAGTTACTGAGGATTTATGTAAATGTAACTGCAGAGCATGGCCCAAAGCATCACTTATAAAGTATTTTAGATCAGTGTTTCTCAACTTTATAAAAAAAAAGTACCCCCTTTTTCAATAAATAAATAAATTATAAGTACCCCCTTTAAAAAAAAACTATAAGTACCTCCAGTACCTCCAGTTTTCAGAGAGACACATTTTTTTCCCTACCATTGCAACACATTTGTTTAAACAACTTAATCATAGTAGCCAGGCAAGCGATGAAATCTTTAGGTGTAAAAAGTATAAAAATAATAAAGCGCTGTAAAACTTAAAACAAAAATTCAGTTTTCTCCAAATTTCAGTTGTGCTGATGTTCCCCCCCAGACTTCTTCCGAGTACCCCTAAGGGTACTTATACCACTGGTTGAGAAACACTGTTTTAGATCAACTGTAACTCAGAGGGCTTTACTGCCTAGAGCACAGAATAGCCCTGCCTGCTTAAACTTAAAAAACTGCCTTTGCAATGCAACTTAGAAAGCTGTTTACAATTTTAGCATGATAATTTCATGGTTCTTTGGAATGATTAATCCATCAAACCTGAGACTCTTGCTCCAGAATACTTTATTTTTGCAGGTGCTTCTGATATGACTGTCTAAACTGTACAAAAACAAACTAGACAAAATGTGCAGACACTTTATTTGGCATGGAAAGAAACCAAGAACACAGCCCTATTACAGTTGCAAAAATCAACTTGGCCTAAGTGGAAATT